GGTAATAAGGGAGAGGAAAAAAAATATGAGAAACTGAAAAAATGGAAATAAAGTGTTTGTAAATGGGGAGGGGAGGAGGGGGTGAAGGGAGGGCAGGGACAAGGGGAAAAATGAGAATCAAGACCTATTATGTAAAGGTACAGAATCCCAATGATGAATGTAATTGTACTGTATACCTAGATTGTACCAATAACCTCAATAAAAAGAAAAAAAAGTGGAAAAAAATCAGACCTCCCCCAAATACAAAGATCCGATCCAAAAATGGGCATCTGAAATGAACAGATATTTCTCAGACAAACAAGTAAAAGCAGCAAGTAAATATATGAAAAAATGTTCCACATCACTGGTCATTCAAGAGATGCAGATGAAAGTAACACTGAGATTCCACCTCACCCCACCAAGAATGGCTGCTATCAAGAAATCAACCAAAAACAAATGTTGGCAGCATTTGTGGGAGAAAGGAACACTTCTCCATTTTTGGTGGGAGTACAGACTGGTGCAACCACTATGGAAATCAATATGGAGAAACCTCAAAGAGCTGGGATTATTGGTTCCATTTGACACAGGAATCCCTCTGCTGGGTATCTTTCCAAAAGAATCATATCACAGAGAAGTATGCACACCCATGTTTATAGCAGCACAGTTTATAATAGCTAAAACTTGGAAACAGCCTATTTGCCCATCAGTTGAAAACTGGATAAAGAAGATGTGGTTTTTCTATAAAATGGAATACTACTCAGCCATAAAGTATGACAAATTAGACTCATACATAGGAAAATGGATGCATATTGAAGATATACTCCTAAGTGAAATAAATAAGTCACACATGTATACTCATACATAGGAAAATGGATGCATATTGAAGATATACTCCTAAGTGAAATAAGTCACACATGTATAAATACCAAATAGTTTCTCTGGTGTGAAAAACTATAATGGTACATAAGATCCTAATGGTATAATTGACAATATGAAATAGAAAGAAAATGGCTAAAGGCATAGGGGAAGTGGGAAGGGTAGGGGAAATGCAATAAGGGAAAAGAAAAAAATGAAAAAATGGAAATAAAGTATTTGTAAATAGGGAAGGGAGGAAAGTGTGAAGGGAGGGGAGGGATAAGGGGAAAAAATGAGAACCAAGACCTGTCATGTAAAGGTACAAGATCCCAAAGATGAATGTAACTGTATTGTACACCTAAAATGTACCAATAAACTTAATGAGGAAAAAACAAGAAGAATGTTGAGCTTTTGATTGTCATTCAATCCAAATATCCTGAACCCCTGGGGCATGGATTAGTATAGATCTGTGACCTGTTAGGAACCTGCATAGGTGAAAAGTAAGAAAAGCTCCTCTGTATTTACAGTTGCTCTGGACTGCTTACATCTCCATCTGAGGTCTACATCCTGGCAGATCAGTGGAAGTATTGGATATTCATGTAAGCATGAATCATAGTATGAACTGAGCATGTGACAGACCTAGGCTGCATGCCCCTTTGAAGCATTGTGAAGCCTCACCCATCCCAATCTGGAAAACTTGTCTTCTATGAAACCTGGTACAAAAACATTGGCTCACTGGTCAAAATGATTGCTCTTGCAAGTGTCCTCCTAAGAGCCTGCTCTTCACATACTGAATCATCTAAAGATCGGGAGAAACACCTTTTGGCTCAGAAATTTTAAAAACCTAGAGTCATATTTTTTGGAGTCCTTTATATCATGTGTGCTGTCTGTAGAAAAAGTGGCCATAATATCTGTGGTTAATGTGTTTGGGGTTTCCCTTCCATGCAAGCTGCTTCTCTCTTCTGTCCTTTCAAACCCACTGATGTTTGACATGCAGGCTTTTCTGAGAAAGTAATGTGTCACTTGTGTACTGGAAGACTCTCTGAAGTGCTCAGTAGTACAGCCATCAGTTCCATCTTTTTCAAATTCTGTCTCTGCTTAGGGACCCTGTTGGCAGAAGAATCCTTGCAGTGCAGCCTGAATGTTTCAGGAACACAGGTCTATTGACATAGAAGAAGACTGAGTGGTCACCACAGACCCATGGAGAAAGGCCATGCAGAAGTGCAGCAACCCCTCCTAACTCAACCAAATGTTCTAGATGCCAACTCTTCATAAAGTACTCTTGAAAGCGTAGGTACATAATGATGAGTAATAACCTGACTGTGCCCTGGAGAAATTCATGATCTTGTAAGGAAAATAACCATGGAAGCAAATGATAGTATTGAAAACTAGATATAACAATAAAGATCTGTGCTGCAGATAGCAGAAGTTGCTCAGAGGAGGGAGTGCTTCTATCTGGGGAGGTTAGAATACCCAGGAAGGACTGTATAAGATGAATTTTTACCTGAATTCTTGAATTTTGAAGAATGAAGAATCTCTCATAGGAGTTTAGGCAAAGGAGAGTGGACAAATACTAAGTATATATGTACCTTGTTTGGGTGGACCTCAAGTATTTCAGCATAAGGGCATCTCTGGATACAAGGACAGGGTACAGGTGGTGCAATGCCAGTGGCTTCTGATAAGAAGCAAAGCTCTTTGGACCTAATGATAAGATTGAGCTTTTATTGATTTTGCACAAAATATGGGTCAGAGACCAAAGTAAGCATGTTCGTGACTCAGCCAATTGCTAAGGCGGAGAAGACATCAGACTCTGTAATTGGAGTGGAGGGCACACAGCCCTGCTACGTGGCTGCACATCAAGCCCCACCTCCTTCCCTACATAAGCATTTGTGAAGAGTCTCACTGAATCACAACTGGGCAGAGAAGGGGAGCCCTGGAAGCACAGCTCCACAAAGTGTCACACAATCCAGGAAAAGGAAATCTCAGAGGAGATAATTGCTGAAGGAAATTGGTAATGGACCTGATCCCAAACTATTCCATGGAAACCTGGGTTCTCCTGGCTACCTGCCTGGTGCTCCTCTATCTGTAAGTAACTCTCCAGGCTCCTCACCTTTGTGACCTAAAAGTTTGGTTACAAATCAGGCTACTCTTCCTCTTATCAGTTTCAAGGATCAGAAGCAAAAATGACAGGACACTTTTTTAAGAGTCGGATGTTACCAAAACCTAAGGAGTGATTGCTGATCTTATGAAGATCCTTTGAAAGCATTAATAACCACTTGTCTCCCATCAAACTTTCAATTTCTATGGCTAGGAAGGTTTAGTGAGATGACTTGCTTTGGGGAATGACCTGAGTCACAATTTGGGCCTATTCAACCAGAATTTAGCAAAGGCAAACTACATATCACTCACTGGTCACCATGTGCAGTGGGATGCACCCTTATGTAATCTCTCAGGATTCTGGGATAAAATGTTCTTCATAAATTTTTGTGCCATTACCTTTATGTTCTCTGTTCAGAGATGTGCAGGGAGATGGTCCCTTCTTGTCCTCTGCTGCTCCTGTACCTTTATACCCACCCCCTAACACCACCTACACAATTCTCCAAGATCACCCAGACATCATGACAGATTCCAATGACATTCTTGCCTCTCTTCTGCTACCCTTTGATAGAAATCCACTTCCTCCTACCCTCAATTCCCCTAATGCCCTCTTGAACTGTGAATGATTCTTTTGAGCAGAGATGTGCTGCCAGATATTTTGAGCTTTTCTTTCTTTCCTTTATCTTTTCCTCCCTGGAAGATTAGCCTTAGGGCAGAAATATACTTCTTCCCCAATATTAAAATTTGTTGACAGACTCAAAATACTAAAGTCCCCAAGCAAACTTGGATTACAAATATTTTTCCCTGTAAATTCTAGTACAAAGCATGAATCAAAATTATCTAATACAGAGGTTCCTGTCCATGGTGGGATTCCAGGCACCATAGAGCAGATGGAGAGTGGTGTTAGTTTGGTATATGGGTAGGAGAAGCTCCCTTCATGTCATTTAATTTCTACTTCAATTTTACATTTACAAAAAGTTGATACAAAAAATAGAAAATAGAAATAGAAAATAGAAAACAGAAATAGAAATAGAAATAGAAAATAGAAAATAGAAATCCAGAGTGAATTTTTTAAGAGAAATTTAATAGAAATAGAAAATAGAAAATAGAAATAGAAATAGAAAATAGAAAATAGAAATCCAGAGTGAATTTTTTAAGAGAAATTTAGAAGTTGAGGGCAATTTATTATTATTATTATTATTATTATTATTATTATTATTATTATTTTCCTAATAATTCTTTACAATTAATTAAATTGATAGCATTCTACTCAATACTTAAATTTCTTTGAAATGAGTACAAGATTTGATATTTGTGTCACTTTTTGAAGCACTTTTAGAAGTCCTCTTTTTATGGCTGCCTCAATGTCCTGAATCAATTCAAATATTAATGGCAATGTCTGTCAAAGGAGAACATTCAATGTGTCCTCAGCTACCATATTCACCTGGTCTGACACTGTTCCTTTTCTAGCTAAAATTAAAATGGCAATGAAAGCTGAGCATTTTTTAATCAATTCAGGATATCAAGGAAGCCATGAGAGCACAACTAAAAATATGCATGAAAGAGAACTCCAGGAATGCTTCAGAAAGTGGCAAGAACAATGGGATGAGTGGGTTCAAAGGTAGAGAGGTATTTTGAAGGGAGTTGGTGACCATATGTCTTTTACTTATTTTTTAATATTATTGGTACAATTGAGATACACATAATGATCACATTCATCATAGGGAATTTGTACCTGTATGTGATGTATGTTAATTCCTCTTTCTTTTTCCCATTCTCCTTTCCTCCCTTCAACCCCTCTTCCCCTCCTTATTCACAAAAGTCCCATGACCATTCCAAAGGGTCTTTTAATATAAAATCTTTTTAATGTAAATATTCACTGTATATTTTGATCATCACTTGTACATCCTGTTCCTTCCAAAATTTAAAATAGGGCTGTGAGTGCAGTGCTTGTGACCAGATGCCTGCTTAAAATGACCTCATCTTTTTAGAATAACACCAAGAATATAAATCCAATATGTAGAAATCTATGTCCATGACATAGATTGCCTATGTTTTTAAATATACCTGTGTAGCAGTTTATTTTACTTTACATGTTTCTTTATATGTCTGACTGTCAAGTTGTCTTAATCTGTCATTATAAAGGAGAGTGTGAACCAGTGATGAAATGAAAGATATCTAGGTAGGAGTTAGGACAAGTGGGAGAACATCCCTCTCCTCTCCACTCAAGGTAGAACTCCTAGAGATTCACAGCTGTGCTGGCCCCTGTTGAAAGTCACTAGAGATTAGACGTGTTGACATCACATCTACTTCCTTAGTCAACACAAGTGAGATTGACATCGAAAAGTTCTAGCCTGAGTCTCTCAGGAGCACTCAAACTCAAGTTTGGGTTTTTATCATATTTACACTGGGAGCCTAGGGGTTTCAGCTACTTTTAGCTAATCTTTTTGATTTGGGAGATTTTTCAGGGAATGTGAGAGAGAAGATAATGAGCAATTGTAATTATTGCTGTGGAATTTTTGTTATTATTTATTGATTTATTATATGTTATCTTTCTGGCTTGGCTTCCATTCCTGAATCTGTGACTAGTGACTCACATATATGTAGTCACAATCCCTGTACCTTGCTTTCTCTATCACCTTGTAGATACGGGACCTCTTCACATGGCCTTTTTAAGAAGTTGGGGATTCCTGGACCGAAACCTCTTCCCTTTTTTGGAAATATGCTGACTTCCCGTAAGGTGAGTATTGTTTGTTTTCCCTCTTTTATTTTTTTATGGTTGTGAAGACCAGCTTAGTTCCATTATTAAAAAAAGCTGCTCCTTGGCAAAAAATTCAAACATACTCATTTTTTAGGTAGCGTTTTGTGGGCCTGACTTAGAGCACAGCCAGTTTTTTCCCAGGACTCTGATATTAACTCTTTGGAGCCTGAGTTTGCCTCGGTTGATCAGATCGGCTGTCTTGCACATCAGTACTCCATGTTGAGGACTACATAATAAGATTTTGTGAGTGTCAACGAGGGGTTTTCTTTCTGCCTCATGCAGATTCCAGGAAAGCACATAAAGACTTCAGGGAAATTTCTTTGCATAGTTAAAACATCACAACTAAAACTAGAAACAGGAATATTTGTTTTTAATTTTCAGAAGTAAAAACTCAGAGCTTGAGTTTAATTTTTGGTACAATTTAAATATACATAATGATCGCATTCATCATAGGGGATGTGTACCTGTATGTGATGTATGTTAATTCCTCTTTTTTTATTACAATGGTTATAAAACGGATCTATTTTTAATATTTTGAGGAACCTCTATACTCTATTCAATACTAGTACAAATTTACAACCTTATCAACAGTGTACTAGTATTTCCTTTTTTCCACATTTTCACTAATACATGTTTTTTGGTTGTTTTTTTTTTAATAAAAGCCATTGTGATGGTTGTGAGTTGATATTTTATTGTGGCTTTAATTTGCATTTCTCTCATTATTAATCATTCTGAAATTTGCCATGTACTTCTTGGCCATTTGCTTTCTTTCTTTTGAGAAATGTCTAGTCAAGTGCTTTGCACATTTAAAAATCAGGTTGTTTTCTTGTTATTGAGTTTTTAAATTTCTTACATATTTGTATCTTATCAGATGTAGTGGTTGCAAATAATTTCTTCTATTCTCTAGGTTGTCTTATCAAACTAGAGATGATTTCCTTGGCTATACAAAAGTTCTTAATTTGGTGCACTTCCATTTGTTCATTTTTGCTTTTGTGGCTGGTACTTTTAGGTTCTTATACAAAAATGACTGCTTAGATCAATATGAAGCTTTCCCCTAGTGTTCTTCTAAAAGTTTTACATAGAAAGCTCATGCTTTTTAGCTATTATTTTTCTGATTCTCTGCCTCTTCAGCCATTAACTTCCACACATCTCCTTTTTGTCCTTATATATTTTCCCAATATGGTCATTCTGTGTAAAGGAACCGTATAATGTGTGGCCTGTTGTCACTGGCTTCTTCCACATAGAGTGGTATTTGCAAATTTCATCCACATTATAGCATGTATCAGAACTTTATCCCTTTTATGATCAAATAATATCCAAACTTTGTTTGGATATGCAACATTTTGTTTTTCTAATATCAGTTAATGTACTTTTTAAAAATTTTATTTTGATGTAATACAAGTAGATATTAGTAAAGAAAATATAAAAGCCATTCTATGAAAAAATAATTGTTACAACAAATGTAATTATAAATATACTGTGTGTTGTGATCTTAAAAGAATATATTTTCATTTGCTGATCTATCAACTCATTTCCTAATAACACTACCTTTTGGCATAAAACATTCTAATTATTAACAAAGTGTCCCACACTCAGTATAATTTTGAACAATCTCTTCCTATTTCACACTATCTATTTTAGATTTGGGCCTTTATTTGTACTTTCAGTTTCTCACACCAAAGAAACAATGCAATACTTACACATCTGTGTTTGATTTGTTTCGCTTAAGAGTATGGTTTTGAATAGGGAAGGGAGGAGGAGGTGAAGGGAGGGCAGGGGTAAGGGGAAAAAATGAGAACCAAGACCTGTTATGTAAAGGTACAAGATCCCAATTATGAATGTAACTGTACAGTATACCTAAAATGTACCAATAAACTCAATGAGAAAAAAAGAGTATGGTTTTGAGGTTCATCAATTTACCTAGAAATGTCTCGTTTACCCTCCTTTATTGCTAAGTAGTACTCCATTATATGAAAAAAAATCATTTTTATCCATTCATTTGTTGATGGTCATTTGGGTTGTTTCCAAGACTAGACTATGATACACTGTGCCACTATAAATATGGATGCAGATATATTGCTGTAGTATGATGCTTTAATTCTTTTGGGAAGATACCCAGAAGGGGAATAGCTGGGTCAAACGGAACTTCTAATCCTACTTTTTTTTAGAAATCTCTACACTGATTTCCACAGTACTTGCACCAGTCTACACTCCCACCAACAGTGGAGATTTCCTCTTCACCCATAGACTCACCAGCATTTGTTTGTGGTTGATGTCTTGATAATAACCATTATTTCTGGACTGAAGATGAAATCTCAGCTTTATTTTAATTTGCATCTCTCAAATGACCAGTCACTAGTGATTTCAAAATCCTAAATAAGCTAGAATTCCAAAGAGAGTTTATAAGATCAATGAAAAGGATGATGAATGGGGAAATAAAAGAGCTTGCTTGCTCCTGGGAAACTCACTTTCCTCATCTTTGGTTTCCACACATGCTCACAGAGGAAATAATGCCAAGGTTACAGGATTTGAGACACCACAAAAAGAACAAGAACAAACACTGTTAAAAGAGAAGGAATTCCTTAGTATTGATGACAAGACAATATTATTTTCTTTCTGATATCTCTGAATAAGATTTTCCCTCCAACTACCAGTGAAGGATATTAAACCTGAATTCATGGGATTCCAGTCATTTGTGTCTATGAGAGATGTGGTCAGTAGATTTAGCACAATAATGGAATTTGATTTTTCTTCTCTTCCCAGGGTATCTGGGGTTTTGATGCAACATGTTATAAAAAATATGGGAAAATATGGGGGTGAGTATTCTGGAACTTGCATTTGGCTGCCATATTAAGCTGAAGTACCTACTGCCTGAGCACAGTGTCAGCCCAGAGTTCTTGGCATGTAACTGTCTATTATAAGATTTTGGAGGTGCATCTTCCCAAGGCTCCAATTCATCACAGGAGTTGAAGTCCACAATCTGAGTTAGATTGAGAAAATTGCATTTTATGATTTTTCTCCAGACTTTGAAGGCCCAGGGACTATCAGCTTTCCCTTCTTTCCATGGTTTGGTCATTCCTCTAGTCTCCATTTTTCCTCTCTTTAGTCCCCTTTACATGCTTTATTTGAGACCTTAATATTGCATGCTTACAAATGCATGGCATGTTTTCTATGTTGATTTCCTTTTAACATAATGTTGAAAGTAAAGGTTTAATAAGTTCTGTTTTTCTACCACAGGTTTTATGATGGTCAACAGCCTGTGTTAGCTATCACAGATCCTGACATAGCAAAAACAGTGCTGGTTAAAGAATGTTATTCTGTCTTCACAAACAGACGGGTAGGCATCCATTTTTAAGCATTTTAGTATTTACTTATTGACTTAAATTTATCATGAAATAATTATAAATTCACAATCACTGCCAAAAAGAAAAAGCCAGAAGGTTCCATGTACTTTTGATCTTGTTTTACCTAATGGCAGTGTTGTGTATACATACAAATTTAGTATGCACTTTTAACCATAGTAATAAGAAATTGATACAATCCACATTCTCCAGTTTCTTCTGCTCTTGTTGAGTGTGTATATCTGTTTGTAGCTCTATTCAAATTCATCACATATGAGCATTTGTGTAATAATCAATCCAGTCAACATACAGAACTGTTTCTTTACAGTGAGACTTTCTCTGCTGGTGCATTAGAATTGTAACATGTAGCTTGCCTTTCCTCTTAAGAACAAACTTTTTTCAGACCCATTTTCCTCCTTTCAGGGGGCCGATACATCTATATTTTTTTCTTTTATGACCGTTCTTTTCTTGGCACTTCTATAATTCTTTACTTTCTGTGCTGTTGTTTTTCTGTCCTAAATATTACATAGTTACATGCTTTACATTTAAGTATATGATCTAGTTAGTGTTAACTATTTTACAATGTATGGGGTTTAGGTCAAGTTTTTTCTCATCTCTTTTAGACCCAGGTGTGTCACAATTTTCCAGCACTCTGTTGGGAAGGTTGCTCTCCTTCCACTGAAACACTTTTGCACCACTGTCAAAAATCACTGGGGTCTGTGTGTGAGGATCTATTTCTCATTTTCAATTATGTCCCATTTAATCACTGTGTCTGTTCCTCCTCCTGTACCACAGCCATTATTATTGTAGCTATATACTGAGTCAACATAATGCAGAATGATTCTTCCCAAAATATTTTAAATTTTTCTGAACATTTTCACCTATTCTTGTTTCTTTGCCTTGTCATATAAATTCAGAATACACTTGTCTATGTCTACAAGGAAACTTGCCAATATTTTGATGAGTTGAATTTTATTAATAGGTAGCTTTGGAAAAAAATCAATATCTTTAGTATGTTGTATTTGCTGATGGATGATTGCCATGTACCTCTCTGTTCCTTTAGGTTTTCTTTTATTCCTTCCATCAACATTTTGTAGTTTTCAGCAACCAAGCCTGTACATGCCTTGCTAGGATCATACCCAAAGGATCTCATTTTCTTTGAAGTGATTAATAATAGAAATGTGTTTTAATGTGCATTTACATGCTCCCAATTTATCTTAGAAATGTGCTTTGTTTTTGCATGTTAATTTTATATCCAGAAATCTTGATGAATTCATAAGTTCCAGAGGAACTTATGTATTACATGATATTTTCTATCTTCAAGTCTTAGAAAATTGTTTTCCTTTCCAAACACTGTAACTTTTTTTCTTGTCTTATTGCAATAGTTGAACTGGCAGTTGACTATGATGCTGAAAAGAGGGATACAATCTTTAAGCTTCCTGATTTTACCTAATTATAGATGACGATGATAGCCTTTGAGAATTTCCATAGAATCCCTATCTGTATTCAAATTTTTGTTTAACATGTATTATACATACATATGAAATTCAATGTGCTACTTGCATTCATCATGTGCTATTGAAATTTAGACTCCCCATAGCCACCCTCCACAGCTTCTTCCAAACCTGTTGTAGTCACTACCTCGCATTCAAATGACTGTTATTTTAATCTGTCTTTCTGTGTCTGGCTGATTAAGGCATTTTTTAGTTGTTAGGGTAAAAGCATTCAGTGTTTCCCCAGTAAGTGCCTTCTTAGTGAAAGACATTTTCTGCAGAATTGTTTATTAAGTTGAGGAAGTTTCCTTCTTAATCTTCTTATTTTTTTATGAATAACTGTTAGCAATGCCCATTTTAATACAGAATGTATTTTTAGATCATAGGGGCAAGTTTCAAGGAGCTTGCATTCATTGGTCAGCTCCAAGGTGAGAGAACCAATCACCATTGTTTTTTCATCTTTCCCTGCAGGAAAAAAAATTAACAGAAAAGAACTTCCATGTAGTTACTTTGTTTCTCCAGATTAACAATTAGAGTTCTAGTCCTTTGAGTACTAAGTATCACTTTTTATAAAACACCATATCCAGGCTTTTCATTATTAAGGTGCTCGTGCCATCTATAAACACAAGGACCAAACTACTGTAAGGCAACCTACCGTTGTTCAAGGCAGCTGGTATTTCTTACTTATCTATTTCCACTCTGCTCCACCCAGGAGAATGTATTAGGTTTCCTGTTACCAGAAAGAAGGTTCTCAACCACATGGAAATCTTGCAGAAGTTAAAGTGCCTCCAGCACCTCTCAGAAAGCTAGTTATTTGTAATAAACATTTACTCAATCTCTGACATAGGGATAGTCACCTGACACACAGCCAGCAAGTAGTTGTTAAGCAGTAATACATATCTAGAAATTCATCTAATTGTGGGAACCTTCAAAATTTATGTAGGGCAAAATATCTTTTTCTTTGGACTGTAGTCTTTTGGTCCAGTGGGATTTATGAAGAAAGCCATCAGTATCTCTGAGGATGAAGACTGGAAGAGAATAAGAACATTGCTGTCCCCAACCTTCACCACTGGGAAACTCAAGGAGGTAATAAAATAAGAGGACTTTTAACAGGAAACTTCAATAATGAATCTGAAGACCTCCAGAAGTTAGGAGCGTAGTGGGTTTCCCAAGGGTGATGCTGTAAGTTTGAACTTTGAAAAGTGGCAGTTTATCTTTATTCTCTGCAGCATATATTATAAGATTCAGTATTAGGACAAAAAGGACACCAATAGCACATTCATAGACATACATCTACCATAATATACATGGCCACAGTAGTAGGTTTTTAAATATGTTTATTATGCAGTCAGTCTATCAGAATGAAATGCCACCCAGAATATCTACTTCTGGCAAAGACTGATCTGCTTTCTTAGAAACAGATAAATCCTGGAAAAGGAAAAAATATTTACTAGGATTTTTATACTTTATATTTGTTGATTTAGTAACCCTTTAATTTTTACTTGAGATTTAAAATACAAAAATTCTTTATTCATGAATATCCCTATCACCTTTCTCTACAGGTGGTACAACTAAACTTTTTTAAAGTACAAATCAGATGCACTATAAATGACAGTTATGAATTCATCCCTGGGCAAGACATAGACCGTAGGGCTTGAGTATCCTCATGTATTTAAGTAGTGGTGTGTTTTTGTTTTGTGCTTAGATGTTCCCCATCATTGAGCAGTATGGAGATGTACTGGTGAAAAACCTGAGACAGTTAGCTAAGAAAGGTGAACCTGTCTCCATGAAAGAGTAAGTAGCAGTACACCGGTTGGCCTTCTGGACAGTTATGAGACTCTCCAGCTGCCTGCCAGAGAGCTGAAATTTCCATGGCTGACTAATGTCAGTAACCAGAGAAAAGCAGCAGTGCTATACTACAGTTTCAACAGACTGTCCAAGAAAAGGCATTTCCAAGAGAAAGTTGGGAAGTTAGGAGAGGGTCTTCCTCCTATTTACAGGGATCAAGAATAATTTAGCTGCTGAATCATCTTATTGGCTATTCTGGAGGACAGAATGTATCATTTAGAAAGGAGAAAATATGATAGTGCCAAACTTGTGAGTGTAGAAGGTAGGAAGTGGTGGGAAGAGAAGGCACTTGGAGTTAGTGGCAGATCTTGCACAGGCCACAAAAGTGACAATGTGGAAACTACCTGAAATATCTTCATAAGTTATAGAGATTGTCATAGAACAGTAAATATTAAATCTTCTTATCACTTCTTGTTCCTTTAATGTCAACAGAATGAAGGACCTGGAAAGGTTAGGGGAGGACAATGACATCAATCATTGATTAAATGGAAAATTTGGAATTATTTAAGAGTCATGAGTGTAAACTGAGATTGAATTGAGCAAGCAGGAGACAGGTGGTTACTTAAATATGGGATCCTGCAAGTTCAAATTGGACAGATTTACTCTAGTTTTAAATTAGGAATAATGTTGGTTTCCATATTCTGCAGGAATGATTCTTCCCTGAAGGCAACTTAGATTCCTGGAGTAGGGGAAAAAGAGATCTCTAAGGAGCTTAAACAAAGGATGTGGACAAAAAGGATGATGCTCCTAGCAACTCAGAACAGGGTGTTTTCTGTGATGTGTGAATAATAAGCTATGTTCACAGATTCTATGATGAATCAAGCCCTCGATCTGTCACTGTTCTTGTTTGACCTAGGATGAGTCAATTATTCCACCCTTGTCCTGATGATGTATGGTGTTTGCACATCCCACTCACACCACTGTAATTTATCTGTGCTTATCAGTTGAAATCCCCTTATGTCCCTGTCACCCCTAGCGAAAGGGGAGTTACATCATTGGCCCTCAGTAAGTATTCAACAAGTGCAAGTGGAACGTAGAGTGTGCAGACTGTCCAACAGAGAGTTCTGACAGGGTGTGGGTCTCTGTCTTTCATGATAATAAGAATCTACTCCCACATCTTGCTCAGGAAGTAACAGAAAGATGGCAGAGAAGTGGAAAATTTAATTTTTCCTGTCTTTCTCTACTCAGCATCTTTGGGGCATACAGCATGGATGTGACCACTGGCACGTCATTTGGAGTGAATGTCGATTCCCTCAACAACCCAAAAGATCCATTTGTGGAAAAAATCAAGAAGATCTTAAAGTTCAGTTTTCTGGATCCATTGTTCCTCTTAATATGTAAGCGGTCTATTATTTTATTCTTTCTCTCTTTTAAAATAAAAACTTTAGATAGAATACACATACCATGTTATTTCTCCCATTTAAGCTGTAGAATTCTATGCTCTTTAAGTGTATTTAAAGATTATCCCAGCCATCATCACTAATAATTATATAATATTTTTGTCACTTTTAAAACCTGTACTTTGTAACTGTCAACTTCCCTATCCTATGGCCATGGCAAATATTCATCTCTTTTCTAATTCTATAGATTTACCTTTTCTGGACATGCCATATAAATTTAACTGCATGATACACAGACTTTTGTGGTGATTTCTCTCATTTGTCACTGTGTTTTCAAGATTCGTTCATCTTGAAGCATGTATCAATGTTTTACCTCCTTTTATGCCCAAAGACTATCCCTTTGCACAGACATGGCACATTCTATTGATCCATTCATCACTTAACATACATTTGGATTATTTTCATCTTTTGGCTATTGGAAACAGTGCTGTGATGATGTTCTTGTACAAATTTGAATTTGAAAAACCATTGTTAGTTATTTTTCCATTTTATTTTTAATATTAATGCTTCATATTTGTAGTGTGGAATAGTGGGTTTTTATTTCTTTTTTTCTCTCTCATTGAGTTTATTGGTACATTTTAGGTATACAGTAGAGTTACATTCACCATTGGGATCTTGAACCTTTACATGACAGGTCTTGGTTCTCATTTTTTCCCCTTATCCCTGCCCTCCCCTCACCCCCTACTCCCTTTCCTATTTACAAATACTTTATTTCCATTTTTTTCATTTTTTCTTTTCCCTTATTTCCTTTTCCCTACCCTTCCCACTTCCCCTACACCTTTAGCCCTTTTCTTCCTATTTCACATTGTCAATTATACCATTAGGATCTTATATACCATTATAGTTTTTCACACCACAGAAACTACTCAGTATTTATACATGTGTGACTTATTTATTTCACCTAGGAGTATATCTTCAATGTGTATCTATTTTCCTATGAATGACTCTTAATTTCTCATTCTTTATGGCTGAACCACATCTTCTTTATCCAGTTTCCAATTGATGGGTAAATGGGCTGTTTCTAAGTCTTAGCTATTCCAAACTGTGCTGCTATAGTGGGGTTTTATTTCAATATATTTGCATATGCATATAACACACTTTGATTAATTTAACTCTCCCATTACTTCCTCCCTTTTCTCTACTCTTCCTGGATCCCTTTCTACTTCCCTATTAGCCTATCATCTATTGTCCTGTACTTTCTTCTTTCTTTTTTCTAAATGTTTTTCAGATTTTACATATGAGAGAAAACATATGATAAATGACTTTCTGAATAAGCTTATTGTGCTTGACACCATCGTCTCCAGTTTCATCCATTTGGCTGGAAATTGCAGAATTTGACTTCATAATTTTTATGACCAAAAATATTGCATTGTGCATACATATAACATTTTCTTTAGCCATTCATCTATTGGCAGACACCATAGCATCTGTCAGTTTAGTTTATTGTGAGTTGTGTCACAATAATCATGGGTCTGCAGGTATCACTATAATATGGTAACTTTAATCATTTTCTGAATATACTGAGGAGTGGTATAGCTGTATCAAGTGATAACCTTAATTTTAGGTTTTTTTTAAAGCACCTCCACCCTGAGTTTTATTGTGTCTCTATTAGTTTATATTTTCCAACAGGGAAAAATTTCCTTTTCTCCCATATCTTCATCAGAATATATTGCTTTTTATACTCTTGATGATAGCCATTCTGACTGTGATAAGATAAAAGCTCTATGTAGTTTTGATTTGCATTTCCAAACGTTTTCTGGTACATTTATTGGCCTTTTATACTTCCTTTGAGAAGTCTTTTTAATTCACTGCTTACTTATTAATTAAGTTATTTGAGTATTTGGTGTTAAATTTTTTGAGTTCTTTATATATTCTGGATAGTAATTCTCTACCAGAAAATTAGATGGTAAATATTGTCTTGCATTCTGTGCATAATCTATTTACTCTGTTTATTGTTTTCTCTGCTGTGCAGAAGCTTTCTAATTTGATGTAACTCTATTTGTTAATGCATGTCACTATTTGCTGAACCACCAGAGTCTTTATCAACAAGTATTTGTTCGTGCCTGTGACAAGTGTTTCCCTATGTTTGTTTCTTGCATTTTAAAGTTTCATGTCTTACAGCTGTGTCTTTAATTTACTTTTAGTTGATGTTTGTACAGGGTAAGGGACAGGGATCTAGTTTCATTGTTTTATATATGGATATCTAGTTTAGCAGGTACATTTATTAAAGAGACTATCTGTTGCCTAAGGTGTATTTTTGACCCCTTTGTTAACAACCAGATGGAGCTCCATGAGTCTGTTTCTGAGCAAACTATTCTACTCCATTGTTCTATGTGCCTACTTTTGAGCCAGTACCATTGTTTGTTATTATGATTTGTACATAATTTGACATTAGGTATCGGGATGCCTCCAGTCTTGCTTTTTTTTCTTTAAAAATGTTTTATCTATTCTGCATCTTTTCAATTTCCATATGAATTTAGCATTGTTTTATCTAGTTCTATAAAAAGTACAATTGGTATTTGAATGGGGATAGTATTGAATTGGTAGGTAACTTTTGGTAATATGGCCATTTTAACAATATTAATTCTGCTAATCCGTGAACCAGAGAAAGGAATACTTCAATATATAAAAGACAATAAATGTAATATGCCCCATAAATAGAAATCAAATGATAATCTGAAAAGAAGCAGAAAAAGCCTTTGACAAAATTTAATAACCCTTTGTGGTAAAACCATAAAAAACTAGAAAGGATCTTACCTCAGTATAGGAACAGTTATATAGAACAAAACTACAGTCAACACCATGTTAAATGAAGAAAACTAAAAACATTTTCTCTAAAATCAGGAAAGAGACAAGAGTGTCCATTCTCACCATTCCTATTCATTTTAGTACTTGAAAATTCAGCCAAAGGAATTACACTTGAAAAAACAAATAAAAAAGATATAAATAGGAAAAGAAGAAATCAAATGATTCATATTTGCAAACAATATCATCCTTTACTTAGAATACCCTAAAAATACCAAAAGTAGGGGTTTAGATATGAAAACATAGTTAGCAAAAGTTGCAGCGCACAGTATCTCCATTAAAAAAAATAGCTTTCTGGTACACCAATAATGAATCCACTGAGAAAGAAATCAAAGAACAGTTCCATCTAAAATAGCTTAACTAAAACACTGGGGCACAAGCCTAACCAAAGGAGTAAAACATCTCCACAGTAAAAATTATAGAACACTGTAGAAAGAATTTGGAGATGTCACTATTTTTAACTTTTTTGCCTATACACTCAGGCTCAATTGCTGGGTTGTGTAGTAATTCTGTTTAAGTATTAAGGTACTGCAGTGTGTTTTCCATTGTAGCAGCACAATTTTAAATTCCGACCTTAATGCATGAGGGTTCCCATTTTTTCACATCCCATCCAATACTTTGTATTTACATCGCTGATCTTATAGCCATCCTTGTGCATGTGTAATATTATTATGATGTGATTTTTATTTTAATTTCTCTAGTCATAAAGATGTTGGGTAACGTTGAGTATTTTTGTGTCTTCTGCAGATGTCTTTTTAAGTTATTTTCTTAATTTTCTTTGTACATTTCAGGTATACGATATGATGACATTCATCACTGGAGATTGTACCTTTACATAATATATCTTGATTCTTATTTTTCCATATTCCACTGCCCTCCCTTCGATCCCTCCACCCCTTTCTATTTACAAAGGCCTTGGTTCCATTTTTTCATTTTCTCATGTTAATTTCATTCTTGTCTTTCCTTTCTCCTACCACTCAAACATCCTCATCCCCTTTGCACTTTTTCTTCCTATTTCACATTATCTATTATACATTTTTATCTTTATTTACACTTTCAGTTTCTCATACCAGAGAAACTATTTGCTATTTATGTGTGTGTGTCCTATGTATTTCACTTAAGAGGATAGCCTCAATGTGCATCCATTTAGCTATAAATGCCTCTAATTTCTCATTCTTCAAGGTTAAGTAGTACTCCAATTTATTTTTTAAAAACCACATTCTTTTTATCCACTCTCCAGTTGATGTGCAATTGTTCTGTTTCCATGTTTTAGCTATGACAAACTGTGCCAATATGAACATGGGTTCACATATATCTATGTGGTATGACTCTTAATTCTTAGGAGAAGGTACCCAGCAGGGGAATAGCTGGGTCAAATGGGACTTCCAATCCTTGTTCTTTGAGGTATCTCCAGACTGATGTCTACAGTGGTTGCACCAGAACACTCCAAGGGTAGAGAAGGCTTCCTTTTCCCCATAACCATGACAGCATTTGTTATTTGTTGATGTCATTATAGCAGCCACTCATTCTGGGGTGAAGTGGAATCTCAGCATTGCTTTGATTTGCATCTCTGAAATGACTAGTGATGTTGAACATTTTTTCATATGTTTATTTTCTATTTCTGCTTCTTTGAGAAATGTATGTTCATTTCAGATGCTCATTTTTTTATTGGATCTTTATATTTGGGGGGTCTGATTTTATTAAGTTATCTGTATATTCTAGAGAGTAGAACTTTGTCAGAGGAATGGCTGGTTAAAAATTTTTCCCACAATTTGGGGTGTCTCTTCACACTGTTGGTGGTTGCTCTTGCTGTGTAGAAGCAATTTTATAAGAGGTTCCATTTGTTGATTCTTTGTGCTAGTTCACATGCAACTGAGATTTTGTTCATGCCCATGCCAATGTCTTCAGGAGTTCTACCTAACATCTCTTCCAGCCAGTTTAGTGTTTCTGTTTTCTTTTGTTTTTGTTGTTATTGTTGTTGTTTGTTTTGGTTTTGTGTGTGTTTGTGTGTGTGTGTGTGTGTGTGTGTGTGTGTGTGTGTGTGTGTGTATGCACGCGCCAGGGTTTGAACTCTGGCCCTGTGCTTGCAAAGCAGGTGGCAGAACTACTGAGCCAAATCCCCAGCCTCTGTT